ACCTGATTACCATGAAGATGTCATTGATTGTCATGGAAAAACATTTGATTCACTGGCCTTCAGAGAGTCAAATCTACCACCCTTATCTGTTCTGGTAATGTGGTTGACACTTAGCCATCCTCTGAAATGGCCTAGCGAGCCACTCAGTTTAAGGGTAGCGAATGTTGGCCTGTACACAGCTGATGAAAGAAAACATTTTTAAAAACGTTTAAAAAAAGCAGGTAACTGAATGTGCAGAGTATTTCTTGAATGATGAATGGTTGGCAAGTGTAGATGTGCAAAAGGATTTGAGTGTCCATGTTCGTAAGTCACTGAGGGCTAATATGCAGGTGAAGCAAGCTGCCAGGAAGGCAAAAGGAATGTTAGCCTTTATTGCAAGAGGATTTGAGTACAGGAGTAGTGAAGTCTTACTTCACTTGTATAGGAGCTTGGTTAGGTCGCATCTGGAATGTTGTGGGCAGTTTTGATATCCTTATCTCAGGAAAGATATTATTGCCATAGAAGGATGACCACAGAGGTTCACCAGACTTGTACCGATAATGGCAGGACTCTTGAAGAAGAGAGATTAGGTAAACTTGGCCAGTATTCTCTAGAGTTTCAAAGAATGAGAGGTGATCTCGTTGTAACCTACAAAATACTTAGAGATGGACAGGCCAGATGCAGGCAAGATGCTTCCCTAGTTGGGGAGTCTACAACCACAGGGTGTAGTTTAAAAATAAGGGGGATTCCATTTAGGATAGAGAAGATAATTTCTTCTAGTTGGATGATGGGGAATCTTTAGTCTACCCTAGAAGCTCAATGTTTGAGCACATTTAAATTTTGATTATCAAAGGAGTAAAGGAGTATTGGGATAGTATGGGGCTAAAAAGACTGAAGTATTTGATCAGGCATGACTGTATTAAATGGCGGAGCAAGCTTGACGGACTGAATGACAAGTCCTGTTCTTATGTTCCGAACTGCTTGTGGGCAGCAAGCAGTTTTTTTTACACACATAGAAACTGAAAACTGCAGATGCTGTAAATCAGAAACAAAAACAGAAATTGCTGGAAAAGCTTAGCAGGCCTTGCAGCAAGTGACCCCGTCACCCCTCTTCCCCCCCCCCCCCCCCCCCCAACACGCGCGAGCATACATGCGCACGCACACGTGCATGTACAAGCGTGTGCATGCACACACACACACACTCTCTCCCTCACACACGCATGCGTACACAGACACACACACACACTCTGCAAACAAAGGACAACTTCCAGCTACCTTGAATTGGCTAAACAGCACTTTGTTTTCCACTTGAAATTGTGTTTGTCTTCTGGCCTCTCCCTCTCTGGGTAGTAAAAACTCAACTTAGTGAATGCTATTTTTATCCACTTAGGGCATGTGGGCTTTGCTGGCTGGGCCAGCATTTAATGCACATGCTTAGTTGCATTTTAGAAGATGGTGAGTGGCTTTCTTGGCCATTTCAGAGGACAGAGAAGAGTCAAACATATTGCTGTGGCTTTGGAGTCAAATGCAAGCCAGGTTGGCAGATTATTTCCCTCAAGGACATTAGTGAACCAGATGGCTTTAATGACAATCAACAATGGTTTCATGGTCAGCATTCAACTTCTTTTCGTTCTAAATTATTTTAAAATTCAGAGCCATTAAGCTGTTGACTCCCCTTCATTAATTATCAACAGATAACTAATCTGGTCGTTTAGCTTAAGTCAGATGATTTATTAGAAATGTGCTTTAACCTATGCTTAAAAAAAAGAGTTTCTGACCCTTTAAAGAGAAAGAAAAGTCACCCTCACGGGACCGGAAAAAAAGTTTTTAGCATATAATTTTATAACTCTACTTCCTAAATAACATATTTTAAACCTTCATCATCTTGAAAATTCAGCCTATGTTTGGACTTTGTTGGTACAGGGTGTTCTTGAGGGGGAAGGAGGGCTGGTTGGTGGAGACAAAGTGGTGGATGCTGTCAAACAGCTATTGTGGTTGTCGGTGGCTCTGGTTAGTGTTCTGCTGAAGATGTTAGACAGTGTGGGGAGAGGCTGTAGGTCAGAAGGCTGGTAGTAGCCTTATGTGGGAGGGGTCAAGGTCGTGCCAATACGCCACCAGTCAGGTAAGGTAAGGTACTGCAGCAAACAATGTCGAAACAAATGGTGTGATATTTCTAATCGTAATAATTTACTGACTTCAAAGCAAAATGATGTCAAATGGGAAACGTTAAACATGGACTGCCTGTAGCTTTTCCAGCACATCCATAATTGTTGCATCCCTATTCCATTCACCAGACTCCATAATTCATCTGTTCCCACTCTGACTATTTGACCTTTTGAGGAGGGTGCTCAGTCATATGTGTTATGACTACTATGCAACTTCTCATCCACTGTCTTCTTTTCCTATGAATATTCATCACAGAGCACATGATCATTTGAAATAGAAGATGCCTCATTTACTTTTGTAAACTTCTTATAGTCTCAGATTTTGCAATCAGTTCTGATTTAATCATGAGGGATGCACATATTAGTTTAATTGTTGTGTTTGAAATGTACTATCTCAACAAGACAACACATTACCTTCTCAGAATCCTTCTATTCCATATGACCCTGTCTTTTGTGGTATACTAAGTTTCTTAATGGAACTCTGTTAAGGTGGTCTTTCACCATACATCAGTGAACTCTGAACTTTTTCTGAATTTCAAACTGCATGAAGCCCATCTCTCTGCATGTAATACATGTGAATGTTTGGGAAAATTAAAACTGATCATGGTACATTCTAGGTCAAGGCAGTTATCCCAGAGGTCAGAAGGGAGTTCAGGATTTTGCTGTTGACTAATTGATACAGAATATATTCTCCAATCATCTAGAGTGAATTATTCGTATAATTTGTAGCACCCAGAACAGATGGTTGTGAATTTGCAGTTTGGTCGAACAAGTAAAGTTGCATATCACATTTCATTTGTTGCCACACCATTTTTCAGAGAGCCCATTGCTAAAATGACATTAAGTGGCAATATTGATGTCCATGATTTTCATATTTCACATGTCACGAAATGTGTCATTGGCAAATTCCCCTCCATTAACATTTAGAAATGTCGCTGGTATCTCATGTTCAGCTCTTAATTTTTTCTATGGCAACTTTTTTGTTCAAATAGATTTTATTGAAGCAGACGAAATCTGGCTATGAGATCTGTAAAATGTAGTGTGTCCCAAAGTTTGAGATCCCTGATAACTACCTTCTTAAGTGGAAGGCTTATAATGGACTTGGTGGCATCCTTCTTTGCTCGTTGCAAATTTCGCACTTCTCACTGCTGTCTTCTGTAAAGTTCATATATTGTTCCTCAGAATTCTCCTTGTCGTGTCATTTTGAAGACTGTAATTCTTCACTTTGGGTGGTTCCCTGCGTAATAATTCTTTGAACCACATCTGAAGCAACTATTTGTTCTTTGGGTATTTCTGGAATTCATTCACCTATTATTTTGAAACAAATTTTGTTTTCTGCTGCATTGGCAGATTTGTTAAAGGTAATTTAATCCTCGTTCTGCCTGTCTTTAATCTTTCCATTGTAACAATGCTTGTATCCAATATCTGGACCATTACAAATTCTAACATTCATTGAGTCCTTTCTTTTATGTGTTACTGTAGAATATCCTGTTTGTTCCATAAAAGCTTGAAGAAATGCCTGTTGTCCCAAAAAATGTTTCAAGAAGCATACATTTGATTCAGCCAGGTCTCCTTCCCTGAGAATTAAAGACTAGTATCTTGTAAATATCCACCAATTTAAACTCCAGCACTGATCCAGGATTCCCCATATTGAATTTCATCAATTCCTTAAGCAATCTATTCAAGTCCGGTATATATTCTTCTCTTGCTTTAGAAAATCTATTCATTTTGGCCCTGCCTCATGGAATTTGACAAGTCATCTTCCTTGTACATTTCATCCAAGAATGTAAATAGGAAGTCTAACCTTAATCACTAAGCTACTGTTGGGAATTTACGTCAATGAAATATTTCTGATTTTACTTCTGTTAGGAAGCAAAATCAAGTCCATTCCTTCTTTTGCCTTTTGTAGGGAGATAACTTGTGTCTGCATATTGACTACATTCTTTCACTGGTTATGTGCATCACACGTTAAATACCTGGAAGAGGAATTGCACCCCAACAGCTTACACTTGCTTTCTCCCATTTTGCAGAAAGGCCACCAAGAGTTTGGTTTCCTGCATGAAAAGCTTTTCTTAGTTTCCAGCCTTCATTTTTATCTAAACATCCTCAGTCGGAAGGCTGTAATGTGGCTCGTGGTTTTTGTTTAATAATGCTCTTCTGAAACACCATTAAATGTGTTATTATGTTAAAGGCACTATATAAACTTACAGTGAGTTCAAATCATATCTGTTAATTACTTAACAATGCCATTCATTGAGGGAGCATTGATACATGAGAAATTGATGTGCCATATTAGTGGGTAATGAATGCTTTAGAATCATAGAATCTCTACAGTGTGGAACCAGGCCCTTCAGCCCAGCCAGTTCACACAGACCCTCAGAGCATCCCAGCCAGACCCATCCCCCTATAACCCACCTAATCTACACATCCTTGAACACTATGGGCAATTTAGCATGGCTAATCCACCTAGCCTGTACATCTTTGGACTGTGAGAAGCAATCGGACCAACGGGAGGAAACCCACAATATGATTTATTATGGAAATGTAGAAGGGACTTTCTCTTGCACCGAGCCCTCGTCCAGAATCAAATTTAACACTGAATCATCCCTGTTAATGCTAGAAAAACATGGATAGAATAGTTTATTCTGAAAATATACAATTTGCAGATCATATATTAAATGTATCTGAACTTCTTCCAGTTGATTACAAAATGGAGCCTGCAAGTCCGTATTAAAAGTAAGAGTGTGTTGACTCATGTCTACTGGTTCAAAGTGTTGTTGTATGTTAAACAAAACTATTGTTAAGGCACCAACTTCTTCTAGTATGCTACGTTCTGTTAATTTCTTTCTTGTCTAGGTTTAGTTTATGACACTTTCATGCTGAAGCACCAATGCACTTGTGGGAACACTAACATCCATCCAGAACATGCAGGGAGAATACAGAGTGTCTGGTCCAGGCTTCAGGAAACAGGATTACTTAACAAGTGTGAGGTGAGAAAAAAGGGAAAGTGATTACTGTGGATCAAAAACTTTCCAAAATACTAAATCTTGAAATAAGTATTGTGAAAATAATACTTAATTTGCTTTCCCATATTTGATTTTCGCAAAAGTTTTTGAATACATCAGCCTTGGATACGAAACTTAAATATGCATATTCGTTCAAGTAATAACAAGTTCAATTGAATACAGTTGAAAAGAGAGCCTGTTATGAAGTTATGTCATGAATTGTATGTGAAGGACCTGCATATCAGCCAAGAATCTCAAAACTGGACTTTAAACATGATTTGATTCTTATTTTAAATGAACTGTCAGAGACAACAAAAATAACTGAGCAACTAATTTACCCTGTCCTGATCAGCTATCGGGACCATTCAACAGTGGTCGCAAAATACTGATCCTTTTGCTATTAATTGGAAAAGAAAAGGAAGATGGGATATGACAAAGGATTTGAACTCCTGTCGCTTCAATCTTGGACTTTATGTAAGCTCATAATGCCTTGTAAAGATCATGATTAAAATCTATAAAGGAGAATTCAGTTTATCCTCAATTCATATGCCAGAGGGTAAATTTGCTGTACAAACTTGTATAGTTGACAAAAATATAGCAATCATTTTAATGAATCCATTTGAATGGGAAATAGGAAAACATTCTTGTCCAGTTCTAAGTTTGCGCAATGTTTTCATTTTGGTGAAGAAATGCTGCTACAGTCACCAAAGGGTTAATTTTCTGTACTTATTTGCAGAGAATCCGGGGTAGAAAGGCAACTTTGGATGAAATTCAAACAGTGCATTCAGAACACCACACATTGTTATATGGCACCAGCCCTCTGAACAGACAGAAGCTGGATAGTAAGAAGTTGCTAGGTAGGTAGCTGCCACATATTTTAATTTACATGCAAAGAGATCAAAGAAGCAACATGCTTATAAGTCAATGTTTTTAACGAGTAATGTTGGAATTCTGTTTCCATAAGACATTTGTTTACTGATTTGGAGGAATTATATTACTATATGATATGTTAAGTAGGCTAAGAATTTTCAGGTGATTTAATGAACTTACAAAATTGAGTTGTATGGATGATGACTATTGAACATTTTAATTTGAATGCTTTAAAATTACAGTTAAATATACCCAAATAGTGGTTAACTATGTGTTATAAAAGATTTTCAATTACATTCCAGTCAATGAAAATGAAATCAGTCTTTCACCATTGTCTGAAGAGTATTCTATTGGCATGTTTCTGTAGGGCCTATTACACAGAAAATGTATGCACTGCTACCCTGTGGTGGACTTGGGGTAAGTACAGCTAAGCACAGCTCCTTGTGTTTTCATTATGCTTGATTGATACATTTGATGTAAAGTAGTGCTACCATGTTCTGTTTATTGTCCTCGATTAGTAACTTTGGGATCTGTTAGTTGATGATAACATATTTGGCATTATAATTGATGCCTACTAGTATACTTGCTGTGGAGCACAGTAGATCGAATTAGCCTACTAAAAGTAGAGTACTTCATTTAACTTTTTCCAATGCGGCATCTGAGAATGATTGTTGCTTTCAGATGGGTTTGCCACACCTTGCTTTGGCTGTCTTTTAATTCTGTCTTTTAAGTGGTATTCTGCATTCCCATTAGTGAATATACTTGGAAGAAGTCTAATGCACTGCATAAAATGATGTCTTGTATTAAGGGTAACCCTTTGAAGATTGCAGTAATTTTTTCTTGTCTTTTTCAAAATGTTGTACAATGTACTGAGTTCTGCCAATTTTCATGTGCAGTTATAAATAGATCAATTATATACTCATCTTTGTTACGTTTAATTTTTAATTATTTTGAACTTGGCTTGCAACAGTGATAAACCAATTATACAGAACATTTTAGACTCCTACAAGGTGGTTTCTACTGCACTCCAGTGAACATCTGTTGTTCTAAGCTATCTAAGTCATAGTCATTCTCACAGAATAATACCTTAAACAATGTCCCAGATGCCACCATCACCATCCCTGGGTACGACCTGTCCTAACAGCAGTACAGGCCCAGTAGAGGTGGCGACACAGTGATGGTATACAACCAAGAAGGAGTTTCCCTGGGAGACTACAACATTAACTCTGGACACCATAGGGTTTCATGATACCAGGTCAAACGTGGACAAGGAAAAGTCTCACTGATTACCATGTACTCTTTCAGCTGATGAACCAGAGCTCCTCCATGCTGAACACTGCTTGGAAGAAGCACTGAGGGTGGCAAGGATGCAGACTTTCCTCTGGATGGGGGATTTTAATGTCCTACTCGAAGTATGGCTCAGCAGCAGCGCTACTGATCGAGCTAGTCAAGTTCTAAAGGTCATTGCTGCTAGGCTTGGTCTGCAGCAGATGGTGAGGGAACCAACAAGTGGGAAAAACGTAATTAATGTCATCCTCACCAATCTGTCTGCCACAGGTGCATCTGTCCATAATAAAATTGGCAAGAGTGACCACTGTACAGTCCTTGTGAAGACAAAATCCCATCCGCATTGAGAATATCCTCCGTAACGTTGTGTAGCACTAGCACAGAGCGGAACAGTCTTCAAATAGATCTAGCAAATTAAACTGGGCACCCATGAGGTACCATGGGTCATCAGCACTGGAAAAATCATCCTCCAAAATATTCTGAAACCGCATAGCTGGACATATCCATCACTGTACTATTACCATCAAGTCAGTGGAACAACCATTGCTCAGCGTAGAGGACATGCACCAGGGATACCTAAAAATGAGGTGTCAACTTGCTGAAACTACAGGACAGAGCTACTGATTGTCAAACAGCATAAGGCAACTTGTGATATAAAGAGTGAAGCAATTGTGCAACTATTGGCCCAGATCTATGATCTGCAACCCTGCCACATCCAATTGCAAATGGCTGTAGATAATTCACTGGAGAAGGAGACTTCATAAGTATCCCAACCTCAGTGACAGGGGAACCCAGTATCATTGCGAAAGGTGATGGATTCACAACAGTCTTCAACCCGAAATGCTCAGTAGATGATTTATCTTGGCCTCTTTCAGAGGTCCTCAGCATCACAGCTGCCAGTCTTCTGCTAATTCAGTTCATTCCAATGATATCAAAAGACATAGAAAATAGGAGTAAGTGTAGGCCATTTGTACCTTCTAGCCTGCTCAGTCAATTCATTATGATCATGACTGATCATCCAACTTGGTAGCCTGCTCCTGCTTTTATTCCATATCCTTTGATCCCTTTATCCCCAAGTGCTATATCCAGCTCCTTGAAATCACGCAATATTTTGGCCTCAATTGCTTTCTGTGGTAGCTTGAACTCAGTTGTCTTCCAGCAGGGTGCACTGGATACTGCAGAGCTGTAGGCCCTAACAACATTCTGGCAATATTACTGAAGGGATGTGCTCTAGAACTTGGTGTTACAATACTAGTATCTACCTGACAATGTGGAAAACCGCCCAGGTACGTCCTGTACACAAAAAGCAAGACAAATTCGACATGGTCAGTTATCACCCCATCAGTCTACTCTCAATTGATGGAAGGTGACCTTGTACAGTTCGATCAAGCAGCACTTGCTTGGCAATAATTGGTTCACTCATGCCCAGATTGGGTTCCACCAGCTTCTGACCTCATAAAGCCTTGCTTCAAACATGATCTAAAGAACTCAGTTCCAGAAGTGAGGTAAGACTGACTGACCTTTACGTTAAGGCAATGTTTGATGAACTGGAGCAAAACGGGAGTCAATGGGAATCAGGGAGAATATTATATGCTGATTGGAGTCATACCTGTTGCAAAGGAAGATGATTGTGTTTGTTATAAATCAATCATTCGCTTCTAGGGCCATCTCTGCAGGAGTCCCTCAGGGTACTAACACTTTCAGCTGCTTCATCAATGACCTTTCCTCTATCGTTAGGTCAGAAGTGAGGATGCTCACTGATGATTGCACAAATGTTCAGCGCCACTCGGAACTCCTCTGGAACTAAAGCAGTGTGTGTCCGATTGCAACAAGACCTGGACGGTATCTAGGCTTGGGCTGAGAAGTGCCACACAATTGCTTGTACGTATAGCAATGGCAACATGCCTTTACGAAGAGCACTACGTACAGATACCTAAGTGAGCAATAAATTTAAAAAAAAATTGTGTTTTGCATTAGGTCAAATATCCTTTATTATATTTGAAGCTTGATCTGCAGTATTTTATCATAGTTGCTTCCGAGTCTGCGTTGTCTGTAAATTATTGATATTAAATATTGCTGAATGCAGAAGTAAGGGACTGATAAAGGATGCAACAAAGATTGTTCGTGCAGAGTGCTTTTGTAAATCCTGTAGGAGAAGTAAACAGTGAACCAGAAACATTGTTTTACTGGTTGACTGCAATATATTGTGCTCACCTTTCTTCTACTTTCCCTCATCCCTTCTTCATCAGATGTTTTGTCAGCAAATGAATGCCCTTGTTGCTCTGCTGCACCCAACCACGATCCTCTCTGTAATACATGTTGTTCAAAATGTAGCACCTTAACAATTATCTAACAAACTTTGTGTGGGATTATTGTAGAGAGCCACAGGATTTTTACAGGTGCCTGAACCTTTGCTTCAGTAGCTTAGTTGTATTTTATGATGTTCCTGGTAGTTTGTATTTGTATCTGAACTATTCACATGTCATGGGATTGCAGAGTGATATCATCATAGTGTGTATACTGTAAAAATAGCAGCCATCCTTTTCCAGAAGGGTGGAATTTTTGAATCTTACAGGATGAAAATGGTGTGGCATCTGCCTGCTTGTCTGGGAAAACTTCTAATCCTTCTGCAATGATAACAAACTAGCTATATATTAATTCGATAATCTTCCTTCCTGTTAACAAAACCTGCAGGTTGGTCTTCTGATGCTTTGATTGTTAGGTCAGTCCAGTCTATGATGGCCAGTGCATGAGAGAATTTCTTGCAGTTTGAATGTTGGTGTCGAGGGCAACGGTAAGAGATTGACTGAAGATGGCAAAGAAGACATTGGGGTTTTGCTTGATACAGGATGTACTTTAAATTGGGAGATATAGGTAATATCTGTCATAGGAGACAAAGCAACTTAAAGCAAAAGAAAAGTTCAAAGCATTTGTGACTTTGACAACCACTGGCAAAGAATAGCCATCTGTGCCAGCCGGTAAAACATCCTGTTGTGGGAAGGTGCATAGGTCGACAATAGTCAGCCTCAAGAACTGCAACCCCCTGATGCATTACTCCTGCAAGATATCCATGTAAGTGAATTTTGCCCAATAACAACCCATTGCCAACTGCTATTCTTAACAAACCCTTCACGCTCCTTGGCCTGCTTGTTCAATTGGCTTCTCCTTCTGCACTTCGTATAACTGTTCCTTGATTCAAAGCAATACAAACAGTAGAAAGAAGAAATCTCCATGATGAGAAATACCTAGGAAATTCACTAAACACAATAGTACTCAAATCCCCATAGATCTTAATAGTTGCAATTGAGCCCTTTCATAGTGCTTACTAGAGTAAACTAACCGCTTTGTGAAGTTACACTTGCAATTTAGCACATTGGATGCTCTCATTCACGAGGCACTTTCCAATTGCTACAGAAAATCTGGAATTAAATAGAGGCTAATGGAAGTTTGTCTAATTACTTTTCACCTTTTTAAACATCATTGAGCTAACTGACACATCAACTTTTAGACACTGAAATTTGATGAGTGTTTTGACTCACTGTACACCCTGTATGACTGTACGCACAAATTTGAGAAGATAGCCTAAATTTGTGTGGGGTTGGCTGTATAAGATCAGGGCTGCAAACTGTGCATCACCCTCAGTAAATAGGGTTATCAAATTGTACCTAAAGTTTTAATGCAGCTATACAATGTTACAATAGGACCAGTGAAATAGAACTGAATATTTTGGTTGCGTCATTTTCATTGAGTTTCCCAGATAGTGCATCTCCACGAAACCTGATGTGTTTTCTCCCATGTTCATTTCAAAGTAGTCTCATTAACTACCTCCTCCCTCTGGTGTCTCTCTCATCCAATTCTAGTCTGATTCTCCCACTCACCAAAGCAGGAGGTACTTCCCAACACTGGGATGTCATAGACTCCTTGACACTGATGCAATCTTTAAAAGGCTATTGTGCATCTGGTCAAGTGCTGACAGTCCACAGATACCTTGTATGTTTGACACATTTGCCCTGGACATACTAGATGAGGGAAGAGGGCTTGCTGCTTTGCAGACAGGGGCCTGGACGCCCTAGTAGACAGATTGGTGCAGATTGGTGTTTACCCCAGGACCAGAGGAGGCCACATCAAAC